CTGTCGGTCGCAGCTTGCGGCATACGGGTCACGTCCCAGCGTATAATCATCATCTATAGCGGACAGCTCACTGGCCACGTCCCAGCACATAATCGTAATCAATAATTAGCGGCACATTGTCCACGTCCCAACATATCATCATCCATAGCCGGCGGCTCACTAGCCACGTCCTAGCACATAATCATCATCAATAGTCGGCGGTACACTGTCGACGTCCCAACACATCATCATCATCATCAGTAGCTGGCGGCACATTGTCCACGTCCCAGCATATAATCATCATCAGTAGTTGGCGGCACACTGTCCACGTTCCAGCATATAATCAACATCTGTAGCTGGCGGCAACACTGTCCACGTCCCAGCATATAATCATCATCAGTAGTTGGCTGCACACTGTCCACGTCCCAGCATATAATCATCGTCTGTAGCTGGCGGCAACACTGTCCACGTCCCAGCATATCGTCTGCAGTTGGCGGCAACACTGTCCACGTCCCAACATATCGTCTGTAGCTGGCGGCAACACTGTCCACGTCCCAGCATAAAATCGTCATCTGGAGCTGGCGGTACACTGTCCACGTCCCAACATATAATCATCGTCGGAAGTTGGCGTCACACTCTCCACGTCCCAACATATAATCATTGTCTGAAGCTGGTTGCACACTGTCCACGTCCCAGCATATAATCATCGTCTGAAGCTGGCGGCACACTGTTCACGTCCCAACATGTAATCATCGTCTGAAGCTGGCAGCACACTGTCCACGTCCCAACATATCGTCATCGTCTAAAGTTTGCGGCACACTGGTCATATCCCAACACATAATGATCCCGCGCCTGGCGGCACACTGACCACATCCCAACCAATGTTGAGAGCACACTGGCCACGACCCAGCATGTCCAGGCTGATGCTAGACGGCTCTCGGGCCTCGCCCCATCATTTTGCCCGAACTCGGAATCAAATCTGCGTCTCTTAGTATGAATTTTCGGAGTCGGGAGTCGGATACTATACCATGGGATTTCGTTTCATCCATCTCTGATAACTCATAGGCCTTGCCTTCAAACTCTTTGATGATCCTAAAAGGTCCCATCCACCTGGCCTCCAATCTCTTGGTCCACTGCGTCTCGAGAGATGTATCATGCAGAAGTACAATATCCCCGACCTGAAGTGGTTCCTTCCTGATGTACCTCTTGATGTTCCATCATGTCTGGTCAGATAACCTGCTGTCTTACATCCTCTTTGTGGCCTCGATTATGACCTCATTCACTTCCTTGATCTGCCTGATCCTCAGTCTCAGCAACTCCTCTGTTGAGTATGACTCTCTCTGTGCCTCATGGTTCCAGGTCTCAACCAGGTTCTCAATGGGAGAAGTAGCATACCGGCCGTACCGGAGTGTAACAGGCGCATAACCTGTAGTCCGTTTGACAGTCACATTGTCAGCATAAATGGTCGCTCTCAAGAAAGATGACCAACTTCTGGAATCACCTCGGCACCATTTTGATATAGCATCCTTTAGATTCTTGTGACCTCTTTCCACTGGTGCATTAGCCTGAGGATGATATGGTGTCACAAACCTGACTCTGACTCCAAGTCTCAACATGAGTTTTCTGACCATCTCATTCTTGAATTCCAACCCCTGATCAGCCACAAACTCACGTATGAAGGGCTACCTTAGGTAGATTTCCTCGATCCAATCTGCCACTGTTTTTGCAGTTTTCTTACGGATGGTTTTTGCTTCAACATAACCAGACATATTATCTCTTATATTTAGTATATATTTCATTTCATCCTTACCAGGTGGCATAGTTATTAGATCAAGGTGAACAATAGTACCAGTCTCAACAAGAACAGTGGGGTATAAGGGTTCAATCGATCTCATAAATGATATTTTCTGACAGGCTTCACATGACTTACAATATCTCATAACCATACCCCTCAGACCATCCCAGTGATATAGTCAGGATCCTTTATAGTATGTAGCATCAACCCCCCTATGACCCCCTGCTAGACCTTCATGCAGCGCGGCGATTACCTCTAGTTGCCTTTCCCTACCACACACCACTCTCAGCGGCGGTAGTCCTTCCTTAGCATCTACAAAGAGGTGACCCCTACGTAGCCACAAGGTCCTCTTTGTTCTCTCATGGTAGAACTCGTTCAAGTGATTACTGCTCATCATCATACCGATTCTATTATACTCTCCATCATATTCTTTCGCTCTAAATCTTCCCTCATCATCCTTACTCTGCTTCAGATCCTCTAACCCATCCTCTATCTCATTCAATCGACGCTCAACCATTCTTGAACTCTCAGTCAGCTCATGAGCTGCAACAGCGGCCTATTCTACCATCCCATACCACCCTTCTCCCTCATCCTCTTGGATCAAGAGGTAGTGGAGGTAGGGATGTTCCTTTTCACCCCAGCAGTCTTCTCTATTGGCTGTCATGGTTGCGACCGTATAACAATTGAGAGCAGGAGGTAACCCTTCATCATCGTCCCGCATAAGGAATTCGTCAACGAAGAGTGTCTCCTCAAAAGATTCATCATCTATCGATCTCCATTCCACGTGGCTTAACCCATCAGCTCGATTCTTATCAGTAGGTACCTTTTCTAATACAAAATCATACGTCCATATATGAGTTATCCATCTACTGACCGTAGCATCTACTTGCTGATGTCTCTTAACAACCCCAATTATTGTCGTGGAATCCGTCCTTAAGATGAATCTTCATCCCATAATATAGTGTCCTAACATCCTGAGACAGTGCAGGATTGCCAGAAACGTCTTCCTAAACTGAATATAGCCTCTCTCAACCGAATTAAGGGTGCGACTCTCAAATCTAAGTGGTCTTTCTTTACCATTCTCATCTCGCTGCACGAGCACTCCTCCTAATGCTTTCGGGCCGCCATCGGCTTCAATAATGATCTCCCTTTCATCGTTGAAGTAGGGTACTCCTAATACGACCCCGCCATCTCTTAACTTATCTTGAAGTGTCCGCGCAGCCTTCTCTCTTTGGTCAGACCACCCTAAGCTTGCTCATTGTCGCACCATCTCTCTAAGAGGCTCGGCTATCTTAGCAAACCCGGGGATGAAGATACGCCAAAAGTTGCACACCCCTAGGAAACTCCTTACTTCCCCGACCGTTTTTAGAGGCATAGGCCAGTTTAGGGGTTTCTTCCTTCCAAGAAGCACCTAAAACCCAAGATTGTTACCTCTCTTTGGAACAGTAGTGATTTCGGCCCGTTGGCCGTTAGGTTGTACTTAGCCAGCCTTTCTAGTACTTTCGCTACTCCCTGCGCATGATCTCATACGAACCGTCTAACTCGACCATCCATTAAGGTCTCGTCCTTTTCTTTCGGTCCTTTAACCGGATTGTCATCGATGTATGGGAACGTGACCTTTGGGCATATGTCCTCYRTGACCKTYAGCATGTCTCGCTGRACGACCGCGACCCCATYCGTCCACCCTTGAGGCACCACACACATTTGTATGAGGCCTCTAGGTGTGTGCATGGCGGTCATAGGTCGACTAGTAGGATCTATGGGGAACTGGTCATAGCGAGAGTATAAGTCTACGAGGGAGTAAATGCTCCTTCCGGCGAAAGACTCGACCAATATATCCGTGTTCGGTAAACTATCCGCATCGCGAACAGTTACCGAATTCAACTTTTGCAAGTTTTGTATCCAGCGCAGGCCACCACCCGGCTTCCAAAAACAAAACTAGTGATTGGCATCAGCACCATTCGCTGGTTCTGCAACGTTAGAGGCGATCTTCTAGTTTATATACTTCATTACCTTTTTTTTCTCCTTTTGAGCATATTTCATAGGTCTATCATTCCAAGGCGTATGAGGAACGGTCCAAATCTTGACCATCTTGATCATGTCAACGTCCAGTCGTCCCCTCTCCTCATCATTGAAGGAAAAGGCACCACTGTACTTCTGACATAATTCACATATGAAATCCCTCTCAGCCGGCAGGAGGAAGTCATCGGCTCCTACCTTCATTATTTTGAACCTCTCTGGGGTAATCCTTCCCCCTTTTAATGGAGCCTCTCTAAACCCTTTAATTATCTTTCTTTCCTTCTCTAATGCCTCATTATAATCCTTCTCTATCAGGACTGCCACCGGATTCTTCTTTACTCTCTTGCGTTTATACTTCCTCTTAGATCCGGTGACTATTTTCCTAAAAAATGACCAGTTGCAGAGAAGGTGAGCTGCATCGTGCCAGCTTTTGCTGCCCTCACAACATTCTTGAATCCTTCCATCTCTCTTTTATCGCCCAACTCCTTTTCTTTATCCAGGAGCTTGAGTATCTTACCAATATCATCTACTCTAATCGTTGTCTTCTCGTCTATTATCCCACTTTCTTTCAGCTTTGCTCGTACTTCCTCAATCAACTTGTCAGATTCTCCATGCTTAAGAGAAATAACATGTCGCTGATGACGAGGACGATGTCTGCCACTTATCACAAAAGTCTGTTCTTAACCGTTGTTAGGATCCTGGAGCGAAAGCCAGGCCGCCCCATCAAGGCCAAAGAACGCACAAGCCTCTATTCTATGTAGGAAAGGGGTTCCGAGAATGCAGTCATGATCCAAGTTAGGGACCATAAAACAGAGGATCTCGGCCCGTAAAGTTCCAATCCGAATAGGCAAATCATCAATGAATCCTTCCAATGGCAGAAATCCGGCTATATTAGAGAGTTGGTGATCGACTTTCCTATCTATTCCAATCCCACATGATCTCATCGTGGCCGAGGACATAAGCACCATCTCGGTCCTAGAGTCCACTAGGGCTCTAACCTTCACGTCGTTTACGGAGATATTCAAGTACCCACACGACATGTTACCAAACCTCAACTTGGTACCAGGCGGGGCTCTTTCCACATGCTCGGGGAAGAGTCTTAAACTATTGACTTCTACCTTCCGCCTCTCAACCATCTTTTTTATCTCTTCCCTAAACTTTGGCACCAAGGCTACTGCCTCTTTCCAGGATAAAGTGATTTCAGTTTCCTCAAGTAACTTCTTTACTACCTCATCTATCGAGACACCCTCCTCGGCCTCAGATCCCAAGACCACCTTCCTCTTTTTCCGGCCTCAGATCCCAAGACCACCTTTCTTTTCCTTCCTTCACTAGGTCCTTGGTCCCATCAATCAGTTGGTCGAACTCTCTTTGAGCCTTCTCCCGCTTTTTCTCTTCGATCTCCTTTTGGCTGATATGGGATACATTCAGGTTTTGGCTTCCAGGATTGTCATCTCGAGCCACTATCTCCGGAGGTAGCATACCGTCAAAGGTGACAACATTAACCCTAACCTTTTTCTTTTTATCCTTATTAGCCTTAGCCTTTTCTAGGATTACCGCTCGCATCCCTCCTTTGACTCGAAAGTCTACCTTGTTCCAATTGGCATCACAGATGTGCCCATTGGCGTTTTTCTTGACAATCCCTTCTTCAAACTCTTTCTCTAATGTCGGACACTGGGTTAGAGTATGACCTTCCTCGTCACAATAATAACATCGGAAGAGGTCATCTCTCCTTTCCCAATCTCGGCTCTTATTATCTTTCTTCCAATCTCGGTCACGCTTCTTCTTTTGTCGCTTTTTTCTCCTTCGCCTAACATCTTCCTCGTCACTACTTTCGCTCTCACTCTCACTCTCTTCCTTTTGCTTCTCCTTCTTTCTTTCTTCCTTACCTTTTTCGGCTCCAACAAGTGCTTGAGTTGCTAGGGCAGGAAGGGTTAACTTTTCAAAGCTAGCAAGCTTAACGAGAGGACCAAGGATCTCCTCGGCCTTCAAGTTTCCTCCCGTAGCTGCCTGAACATTTCCTTCTCTTGCACTAGTGATTGCTTCCATCTGTTTCAAATACCATTTTCTGTTGGACACGGAAGGCAGCTCACGGACCATCTCAACCACTTCATCCCATTTTAGTGGATAACGGGCAGCACGACTTACCACACTCTTCCTTTCATCCTCCGCGAAGTTAGTCAGTAGGACATGACATTTTTGTGCTTCATCTAGGAAGGGTACTCTCCGCGTAACCCGCTCAAAATTTTCTAAAAATTGGTCGAGGGTAGCGTACTTGGAACGTCGTACATCCAACAAATTTTGCATAGTTGTTGGAACATCATACTTCGCATACTCCTCTAACATCTTTTGTCTAACTTCCGCCCATGTTGTCATCCCTTGTGTCGTTTTTGTTACCGACACCCTCATCTTCGGTTCAACTAAGGCTAGCAGAGCTTTCAACTTTTGTTTATCCGACCAACCATGACTCATACCGAAGACATCATAGTCTTCTAGAAACTCTCTAACCTTGGTTCCATCAAAGCAGGGTATGTTCTCTGGAGGTACCTTAGCCCTTGGAAGATCTAGATGGATATTCATAGTGTTCATCCCGGTCTTCATGACCTCTATTTGGTTCAACACTAACCGCAGCAGTGGTCACTTCTCCATCCCCAGCAAAGGAGCTAGCACGGCTCTGCCGTGCGTTCAGTCCTTTGACCATCCTGTCTAGTTTACTGATTATACTCCTACTTATTCCTGAGTTTTTTCTCTCTTAGGATTGCGTTTAAAATTGGTTCCCAGTTCCTGCCGTCAGTAAAACTTTCTGGCAGATGGAGCTCGGGAAACCTATCAAACACAATCGGTGTTAACTCACTAACTACTCTTGTCCCTTTTTTCTCTAATTCTCTCTTTTCTTTGTCAATTATATTACTAATCCAACTTTGAAAGGACTTGCGATTTGTCCCTCTTTCTCTCAATGAGGGAACATAGAGCCAGTGTCAAGGAACTTCACTACAAGGATATACATCTTCCCAGGTGCATGTTTCTCCTCCAGGGATATGCAGCGCTCTATCTTGTAGGGAAAAGTTCCTCCACTGGTAAAAGAAACTAGGGCGTCTAGAGCAGCCGTGATTGTCAGACAGTAACCAGACATTGCCTAATCCCTAGCAGTCCCCATGATCCTTCTTTATCTTCGACCCGTCTAACCTTGTCCTGTGCCTACCAAGTCTTCCAATCCTGAATCGTCTATGTTGACACTACTCCACTTCCTATCTCTTAAAACAGTATTAAAGATCGACTCCCAATCCTGACCATTGACGAAGCTATTCGGAATAGGAGGACTTGGGAAATTCTCATACTCAGTAGGTTCCACACTCCAGGTAACCTTCTTACCTTCCTTCTTGAGCTCGTTTCTGTATTTACAAACGTGACTGAGTGTCTATTCGTGACACCCAGTATACCGCCGCTAGATCTTCCTAGTCACTGGAGTGTATATTCGCACGTCGTACTCATCGGTCTCTAGGAAGTGAGTTACTAACACATACACTTTCTCCTCTGCTTCAGGTATAGCTAAGACAATGTATCTCTCAATTTCATAAGGAAACGCCCCTCCTACCGTGAAGGGCTCTAAATCCCGTATTAAGCGTGGGATGACCGAATAATTGTTATCAGGTAGTTCCCTTCCTTCATCCTTCTCCCAAATATGCCTTCTTCCTAGGAAACTAACATACTCCTCAGCCATAACAAGCTCCTTTCCATTGTCAGGTGAGGAAAAATTTAGGAGAAGTTTTGTCTTGAACTTCGAACCGACGTACAAAGGTCTCAAGAAACAGCGTCTTTGGCCGCATGACTAGGTCATTCTCTCTTGCCTTACCAACCACGGCAATAGCTTCTAGAAGAGGCGCCCAATCTCTTCTGTCGGCGAAGCTATCCGTAGTTAGAAAACCAAGGAGTCTTTCAAATTGTCTGACTCGTTTCCCCCAAGGCACTTTCTCATGCAAGCTACGAAGTAACTCCATTACCCTTGAAATGTGAATGTACCTTCTTCCTCCTTTACTCCTTCTTGAGCATAAACCCTCACGCCAAACTCGTCGGTCTTGAAAAATCTGACTACTAGAACATAAAATATCAAACGCCCTTCCTTACATACGTCATGTTTCAATATCTCGAACGGGCTATCAGTCTTAGTTACTTTATCTAACCATCCTCTACCAATAGTCACAGTCGCAATTGACATAGAATTTTCACACTCCAGTAACATTGCCTTGAGATGCTTCTAGCGCCTGTAGCCAGACTATCCGCAGGACGGTGCCTAGATAGGATGATCTCATCTCTCGCATGTAGCATCACTCTCCTGCCATCCGAACTCTTGCAATCCAGCAGATGCCTAATCTTAGTCTGACCCGTAATTGCTCCAAAAGCAGCCGCTCGCATAAGCTCAAGGTAGTGCTCTACCATGCCAATCTCGTCGTTCCTACCTAGCCTAGTATCGCATCCTCTCACAACCCCGATAACAGTCGCTTGCTGTTCGTCTAGACATACCTCAAAATAGAAGCTCTCTCCGTCATCAGGAGTGTAGACATCGATCGACATAGCTCACCACACTTGATCCCTTAACACCGCGTTGAGGATTGGTCCCCAGTCCTTCCCGTCACAGAAACTAGCAGGCACAGGAGGGCTTGAGAATCTATCAAATTCTCTAGGTAGGACACTCCACGTCACTTTCTTCCCTTGTTGTTTCAACAACAACCTTTCATCTAGGATATAATCAGCAGCAACTACCCAACATGCCTCATAGCTAACCCCTCTTCTTGTTCCAGCAGATACATACGGTCTTACATCATACTCGTTTGTATCAAGGAATCGGACTACAAGGACGTACAAGATTATTGAGTCGTGCTCACATGTCACACACCTCTCAATGACGTATGGGAAGGCACATCCAGCCGTGATCGTGGTCAATGCCTCTATTGCTCTAGTTACTGCCGACATGGGCAGCCTACCAACTCTGCCTTCTCAATGCCGGATTGATGATTGGCTGCCAGTTCCTACCATCACAGAATCCTTAAGGTACTAGCGGGGTAGGAATCTTCTCGTAGACTTTGGTCAATAAGCTCCAACTCGCCTCTATCCCTTGCTGTCTCAATTGATTCCTCTCTACTTCGACACACCCCACTATGACATCCCAGTTGGTAAAGAAACTAGGGTCCTGATCAGTCCCTTCTAAGATGTAGGGTCGAATATCATAATCATCAGTGTCAAGGAATCTAGAGACAAGCACATGCACAGTCGTGATACTTTTTACACGAGTAATGCATTTGACAAACATATAAGGGAAGGCACCACCGCAGGTGACACGAGTTAGGGCTTCTAGGACATTATACTCTTCAGTCATCATCTAGTTTCTGACTTATAGACTCGTCAAGCGAAGGGCCCAGAAAACAAATTCCAAACCCTTACTTGCAGGTCTGAGTCACTTCAGATAGACTTTTGTAAGAGGCCCCTCCTCTCGAGGTTCCTCTAGCCGAAAAGTCTTTCTGACATGAGTCAAACCTTGTACGAAATGTTAGACTGCTGCCTAGTTACTGAATATTGTGACCAAGGTCCGCTCCCAGTAACTCAAAATTTTTGAGTCCCCGGCAACGGCGCCATTTTTGTCGCGCCCCCACCGTTTCAGGGCCTGCTTCGATGTCTCTCCCCGGGCCGAGTGCGGTGGGTTGGTAGACTGGCACACTGTCACGCAGGATTTCGGAGAGTTTTAAGGAAAATTAGAAGTGAAATCACAAGTAGCCTTTGTCACACAGTCGAGTAGTCAGGGTTATCCCTCCTGCCAGCGGCGACACGACTTAGAGTGAGGCGTTCAGTTTTATCGCCTGCACCTGACCCCATATAAAGGTTAGAATCAAGGTCACCGGAGTTCTTATTATCCAGGAGTCCTTCAAGTAGCCTTGAGTATAACCTGTTATGATAAGGAGTGATAAATAACTTGTTATCTAATGCACAAACACTCCATGCATTATAGGACATGCATCATAAATAAAATGACACTGAGAGGACGAAAAAACAGAAACCAGACTCCGCAAGTGCATGACCAGAGACACGAGACCGAAGAGTAGTACACAAAGAATACAGGAAGCATCCATAAAGGGGGCTGCAGTAACTGGTTAATCATAGCAATGTCATAATGCATCTCAATGGCTAGAAGATACGAGGCTCAGTCAATAACGACAAGTGGTACCCCCTCATGAGTGGGCTCGACTGTCTGGGACTCCGTATCTCGTACACACTGGTCCTCCTCGTCATTGAGAACCTGAGTGGCTATCGACTCTGGGACCACATAGCTGATATCAAAAGATGCCTCAGGATCGATCTTGCAAATATATGCCATACATCTAGCCATCTCCTCGTCCGCAACACTCCGAAGGTACAGCTCCTCAGCGAGGGAAATGCTGCTAGTGGCACCGATCAAGATCTCAATCCGTCCCTTGTCGTAGATGTAATCATATGAAACCTCCAGAAAACGGTCTCCATAGAGTGGCTTCCAGAAAGCCTATATAACGAAGTCTGCTCCCACCAAATGACTGTAGCCATCCCCAAGATATGAGAGTGATCCCTTCCCCCTTGAAGGGTCGGCTACCTCCTCTGACCTGGGTCCTCCTGACATGTAATGCCTGGATCAATCACCCTCAAGCAAATATTGTGTCAAGAGATA